AATATTGTGAAGTAATTAGCCTCCAACTAATAAAAAAAAAAAAGAACAAATGCATACAAACATTCAGATAGTATGAAAGGATATAAAATAGATTAAATCATCTTTTCACTTTTATCATTGTCACACATAGCGAAAGCATCTCTTTTTAACCATTTATGTCTTTGTTTCTTCGGATGACTGCCCTGTGACTCTGCGCGCATGTCTGACTCTTTGTGATCCCATAGACTGTAGCCCACCAACCTCCTCTGTCCATGGGATTCTCCAGGCAAGTATACTGGAGTAGGTTTCCATTCCCTTCTCCAGGGGATCTTCCCAACCCAGGGAACCTGCGTCTCCTGCAGTTCCTACGCTGGCAGGATTCTTTACCACTGAGCCATCTGGGAAGCCCAACATTTATTTATTTGGCTGTGTCAGGTCTTAGTTGCTCCACAGCATGCAGGATCTTAGTTCTCCCACCAGGGATTGAACCCGTGGCTCTTGCATTGCACTCCAATTTTTAAATAATGTGTGTGTGTGTGTGTGTGTGTGTGTGTGTATATATATACATAATACACACATATATACACTTTCATTTCTTGATTTATCAACTCCATATGTAAAAATTGATTTCTTACTGTGAGAGACATGGCATTTCAGGTAACATAACCCTGCTTTTCTTTCTTCTCCTCCAATCAGCTTTCACAAGTAATATCAACTTTGGTTGTGAGAACCTATATAATGTTAAATAATATACTTCAACTTCTAGTTCTTGATTTATCAACTTTAGACTGTGTGCTTTAACTAAGTCATTCATTCCTAATGGGGGAAATCACATGTTAAAATGGTTATTCTCTCTGTTCCTTGGTTCATAAAATGTCATATTTATGAAGGAATGCTTCACTAGAAGCAGGTCTTTCTTTAGTCATTTCACTGAAACCAGAGATATGTGTAAGTAGAATGAAAGATATTGATATAAGTGACTATATAAATTATAATAAGTATATATATACTTATAAACACAGATTATTTAGATTATATAGATTATAGAGCCTTTCCAACTATATTGCTTTATTTATTGCCCAGAATAATTTTGTAATGTATACAGAACAAGTATTCTTACATAATATAGGTAAGGAAACAAGTGTGAAGAGTTTATGGTCATATAAAGTCACTGTCATGTTTTTTTTGGTTTTATTTTGTTTCTGACCAGCCTCCACACTTCTTTTTTAATTATACTTTTTGAAAAATTTTGGCTGCATGGGGTCTTAGTTGCCACACACAGCAACAAACATCCACTTGTCTTTTTAAATTTAATTTAATTAAAAAAAATTTTTTTTGGCCGCATGGTATCTTTGTTGTAGTGTACAGACTCTCTAGCTGTAGCAGCGTGAGCTCAGTTATCCTTCAGCATGAAGGATCTCAGTTCTTCGACTAGGTATAGAACCCATGTCTTCTGCATTGCAATGTGAATTCGTAACCACCAGAAAACCAGGGAAGTCCCCACTCTTCCTTTTTTGTGGCAGTATTACTCTGAGCAATAATCCCACCTTGCCCCAGTCTCAGTTCATGTGCTTTCAATTAAAACCAATTACTGCCTTAAGTTCATGAACAATGTGACAGACCCGAGACAGTAAATTCAGCACTCTCCCTGGCCTCAAGTGAGTCTGGAATGCATCAGAATCTATAAGATGTACCAAGATTATTTCTGGGAATAATGGGACAAAGATTCTGGCCCTACTCTCCTGACTAAAGATACAGCCCTGGGGGATGCTAGCAGCCATCTTGTGACCAGGTGTGTGAGATAACCCTGAAGAAGCTGAGTGAGGAGAGAGTTGTGTTTGTTTCACTGGGCCCTTTCCTGAGCCACGTATACTCCTGCTGTTCAGTTACCTCAGCTCACTCAGATTCCCTTGTGTTTACTCCAGTTTGGCTTGATTCTATGTCAACTGTAATAATTGCACAGTTAATTCGTGACAATCCTGACACCAGCTTTTTGACTTAAATCTAAGGCTCTTTCTACCCTACCATGTTGCCTCTTTGTTCAGGAGTCAAAAACACAGACCTTTCAAAATGTCTTCATCATATCTTTTGCCTTCCTTCATAGTCTATTATGCATTCTTAGAAATGCAAATCCATCACATGGAATTCATTCATGAGCCATTACGCATACATGTTTGGGCATGATATTCCCTATATACTTGGAACAATTGTACAATCGTACAGATCAGATAAAAGCTAATTCCAAAACTTTTTGTTAAATAAAGTTATTTTTATTTTAAGGTAACTCTGGATCACTTTAAGCCTGAGGGACACCACCCACCAAGCATGGCTGTGTTCAGGAGTTGTGGTCATCAAATTCAATCATATATTACAGTAGTTGTTTGAAATTCAGAGCACATTTAGCCTAAGAAAAAGTATTCTAACTGGTTACTTAGATTAGCACAGAAAAGCTAATTTAAACTGTGGTGTTATGGTGTGCATGAATGCTCAGTTGTGTCTAACTCTTTGTGACCCTATGTAGCCCACCAGGCTCTTCTGTCCATTGGATTTTTCAGAAAAGAATACTGGAAGGGGTTGCCATTTCCTTGTCCAGGGATTGAACCCATCTCCTGTGTCTCCTGCATTGCCTGTGGATTCTTTACCACTGAGTCACCAGGGAAGCCCAATTTAAATTAAAATATGGCTAAATTACTCTGTATTTGAATGAGAAATGCTAGAACAGAGTATTTTCACAAAACTAACCATAAAACTTTTTTTAAATATTAAGAGGATGGTACTTAAACAAGGAGATTTGCAGGTGGAAGATGAGAAGGTAAATGAAAGTGTATGACCATTCCAAAGAGGCTCCAGAGTCACTGCAAAGGCCATAGTGGTTGATGATTTAGGTCCTTTACTGTACTTGATTTCATATAAAAATGTGTCTTTTCTTTTGCATGATACAATAAAAAACTCTATTCTTAAACTTCAAAACCACACAAAGATGGAACTGAGAAAGGGAAAATACAAAAGAGATTTTCATTTTCTCTTTTGATGTATGTTTCAAGTGCAAAGACTCCATCTTCAGATGTTACTATCTAGAGAAGAAAATATACATGGAAACCCAAGAGTGCACTGCTGAGCTGGCAGAGAATTAGAGGCACATAGAAAGGAAGAGTAGGGTCTTAGCATGTGGGCTAGTGGTTCCCAGAGGAGGAGTCTGAGGTATGTGGTAAAAAACTTGATGAGCCAAAAACAGGAGCTGTGAAGAGAGAGCTTTGTGCAGGTAAATAAAAGCGCAGGTTACAAGTCAGAGACTTGTTTGGGCACTATGTGACGTTTAGAGTGAAGGAAGAGAAAAATGGAGAGACAAATGTTTGAACTTCTGGTCTGAAGGTTATGGAAAACTTTTTAATAGGGCTCTTGCAAGGTAAATAGAAGATAGTTGGAAGAGAGAGGGTGGGGGTGCAGCATTAAAAGGAAAGGGAAGGTGTGGGTAAGTAAATGTATAAAATGAGAGTGTCATATGGGCTGTAAACTAAGTTTAAAAAGCATGTGAGAAAAGTGAAGAGTAAAACACATGGAGAATTGTGCAAGGTGAGAGAAGTAATTAATAGCAGAGGTGGACAGAGTCCAGACTCAGCATAACCTAAGTACAAGTGGCCCGATGAATTCGCAGGTTCCTCATCGAACAATCTGAGGTTCGTTAGCTGACTCTGCAGACAGGGAGCTGGCGGGTAGAGAGGGTTGGCTGTACCTTGCCATTTCATATAAGGGACTTGAGCACCCGTGGATTTTGGTATCCACAGGTAGCCTGGAACCAGTCCCTTGTGGATACAGAGGGACAGTTATGCATTAATGCTCAGTAGAACTCCCAGGAGAGGCTGATGGAATCCACATGCACTGGTTAGAATAGCCTGCAGATTTCAATGTGTGGCAGTGTCCATGTCAAGAACTCCTAATTTAGAATTACCTTTATTTTAAAGTTAAAGCTTATTGGGGTCACTCTGTACAATACCTGAAATGTCAAAGCTGGGAAGAACAAGATTTTGGTTAGAATGGCAAGTGTCTGGTGCCTAGAAAGGAAGGGATCCTGCTATGGTGAGAAACACATTTTATTACGACATGCAATGCACGGGTAGGGAAGTAGAAAATGCACTGCCAGTTAATAGCCACCTATTGACCCGAGGCGATATTAAATGGATTGTTCTGAATGTCCCCCAGGCTTGTGCTCAGCAGCATCAACATTCATCCTTGGAGTCTGCATTTTTAATGGAAAACTACTGTGAATGGTAGTGCTGAAAGCAGAAAGGCCAAACCTTTCCTTGGTTGTAGCTGCACAATTCTTTCCCAGGCTCATTTGCGCTTTAGTGATTTCACTTTGCTTGGCCTTTTACAACTTGGCAGTTCGGGAAGTGAAGATGAGAGACTCAGCAGATTTTAAAACAAATTTTACTCCAAATGTTCCCTTAATACTAGTATTTCTTAGACAGAGATTCCTGATGTTTTAATGAACTGTTCTTGGTGTTTTGTTTTTTTTGTGTGTGTTTCTTTAAAAGCATCCTTTGGCATTTGTGAATGTGCCACGACTTTTGCTCTTTTTTTTTTTTTTTGCTGTTTTTTTTTTCTTTTTCCATTTATTTTTATTAGTTGGAGACTAATTACTTTACAATATTGTAGTGGTTTTTGCCATACATTGGCATGAATCAGCCATGGATTTACATGTATTCCCCATCCAGATCCCCTCTCCCACCTCTCTCTCCACCCGATCCCTCTGGGTCTTCCCAGTGCACCAGCCCTGAACACTTGTTTCATGCATCCAGCCTGGGCTGGTGATCTGCCTCACCCTTGATAATTTCGATGCTGTTCTCTCGAAACATCACACCCTCACCTTCTCCCACAGAGTCCAAAATTCTGTTCTGTACATCTGTGTCTCTTTTTATGTTTTGCATATAGGGTTATTGTTACCATCTTTCTAAATTCCATATATATGCATTAGTATACTGTATTGGTGTTTATCTTTCTGGCTTACTTCACTCTGTATAATGGGCTCCAGTTTCATCCATCTCATTAGAACTGATTCAAATGAATTCTTTTTAATGGCTGAGAAGCTCTTAATTTGGACTCACTGATATTTTCCTTAAAAGCAGGAAAGGCACTTCTTGGTAATCAGGTGAAATATAAGGTTTTTTTTGACTCTTTCTTGAAAGTTGCTGAATGTAGTGATAACTTTGGGGTGGCAGCCTTGAGAAATGTCAGCTGGCAGAAAAAAAGAGAAGTGCCTCTCTGTTGTTTCCTACACTGCTCTGTGAGATCTGACTTTTAAAAATCCTTTGTTAGTTTGCAATACATTTTCAAATGCACTCAAAGTAATTAGCACCCTGAATTGAATCTTGTTGTCACATTTAATTATTAGATGGCTACTTTCCTTTAGGGTATTTGACAGTTGCCCAAAATGTTAGTCTTAATCTAAAACCAAGAAGAGACCTTTGACATAGTGAAAGCCACCAAAATGGCATTTATTAAATATAAATGGTGAGTGCCTGAAGGAGAGGTGAGAAGAGAGTGCTAATTCTCATCCTGAAATGAAAATTCCTCCAGTATGAAAGAGAAATTATATTACCTCTTAGCAGAAGCTTCATCAGTTTTACTTATCACATGGATGATTTTAGAATGTGTGTATTTCTATAATGCGTGACATTTGCATTGATAAATAGAGAGTTATGACTCTCAGCTTCTATCTCTGATTTGCCAAAATTCCTGTAAATACAATGGTTTCTATTAGTCTATTATCTGGAAAATGACTTGAAAAAATTAAATGATACTGATTTAAAATGAAGAAAGCTTATTTATGTGCATTTTTATTTATGTGCATTCAATCCTAAGTGAATCAGCTAAATATATACACCAAGAAACAAAAGTGTTACCCTCTGAGTAGTATTTTATCATAGACTGGAAACGTGAAACTTATTAATAGTGTTAGAAATTAAGTGCACAATGAAATGTACACACTATTGGAGCTCTTCAGTGGTAATTATTCCTTAAAAGCTAGAAATTGCCTTTATCTCTATGATATAAGAGAAAAGATACTATTAAAGCCCCTAGAAATTATCACCATATTTGAAGCATCTTTCACTTGGTCAAAGAAGCACAGGCCAAGTTCTGGTACTTACTATGTAAGGACTATGGCGACTGCATCGTTCAACACACTCTCCCCAAACAAGAGTGTGTACAGGTCAGGGTCGACATGCAGTTCATGGAAAATGGCCAACACCGTCACTAGGGGAGACACACACAAATATACAGAGTTAGTTGGGATGTGGCCATAGACTTGTCCTTGGCTGTGGTCACCTGTATAAAGCACTCATTAAATGTTCATCTTCTCAAATCCATCAATAGATACATACTGAAGCTTTAACCAAAATCAACCTCATCAGTCACTGCCCTGCTTAAAAGATTTCTCTGGGCTCCACATTGCTTACAGAGAAAGCTTGAGCTCCTTGGTACAAGTCTTGTATAATCTGTGTACTGTTTGCCTTCCAGCATCTCTGTCTGAACTCCCTGCCTGCCCTCTGCTGCCTCCCTCTAGCCATGCTGAACTTGTCAGAATTTCCTGAACACAGTGTGTCATCTTCTAATTACCTTGGCATTTGGGTTCACTATAGCAGGGCAGCTATCTGTTTCTCATTCAGATGCTACCATTCTCCTCTTTCCTTAAATACATAAACTGAGACACACACACACACACACACACACACACACACACACACACACACACACACACTTTTTGCTACAAAAAACCCCAAACCTTTCTTCAATCTTCAAAGGCCTCTCAAGTTTCCCCCAGCCCTCTGATCCCTCAGTAAAGACCTGGGTCACTCCTTTTTGATCCCAGAATTTGGGATCACAGAACATATCATAGAAAAGACTGTGAGCTCTTGGCACATGCTCAGAAGTGTTTGATGCGTGAATGACTGAGTGAGTGAATGAATGAAGGTTGTGGCAGCAGCTTATTCCTGTGAAGGGAGTGGTGGTTGGCACCTGGCTCTCATTCTCTCAAGATCACACTCATCTATACAGATGGACCCAATGTTCCTAAGAGCAGGGCCTAAGGATTCATTTTCGGCAGTCTGCTTCATGGCTCCTATATACCGTAGTTGTGCAGAGCTTCTGGGCATATACCTGGGCAGTGAGTAATCACACACTGATTAACTGTGTTCATCAAAACTATTCAGTGTCTCGATGTTTGAAACAGTCATGCAGTGTGAACAGCTATCATCAGGAGAATGATCCACTGAGTTGATTGCCAAAGGGAAAGAGAGGGTGGTTGAAAATGATACTGATGGTAAATTTTTAAGGCAGAATGGGCATTTTCATTTCTGTTCTTTCCTTTACTATTTCATGCGCTGTGAGGTTAATAACTGTGTAGTTTAAGAGAGTGCTGGGGAGAAAAAAAAGCTCAGTTGAACTGTTTTGTAAGTAGGGTCAATAAGTTTGGTACTTGTCCTGCCATAATGGGAGGGTTTTAGTGACAGAGTGACACAATTTGATTTAAACCTTGGAAATCAAGTTTAGGCAGCAGGGTAGAGGACAGAACGGACATGCGGCTGGAAGATTTCCCGAATGTTCTGGCAAGAGATGAGTTGTACCAAGACTGGAAGAGTCCTAGATTCAGGCTCCTCATCTCTTGTACATCCTGCTCTTTCCTGAACATCCACCACCCTGGGTTCTTGTAGGTCAGTGACCACAGTGCTTTGTATTTTACTTACTCATTTGTTCTCACATTCCCTCTGGGTCATTAACCCCTAGCATGTTGCCAGACTATGGTTAGCTTTAGTGAGTGAAAAGATAATGTCAGGGAGGATAGGGCAGAGGTGTTAATACCCACAATATATTTGGGATGAAGAACTGGTAGGTCTTGGTGCTTGAGAGAAAGCAAGATTTGGGTTTCAACCCTGGGCAGGCAGTAAATGGGCTGCAAAAGAGAAATTTGTAGACAGGGGAATTTTGCAAGTTTGGTTTTTGATATGTTGACTTAAATAGGCAGGTGGAATTTCAAATGGAAATTTCAATAAGAAAGCTAGAAGTAAAAGGTTATCACTAGAGGCTTCCCTGGTGGCTCAGTGGTAAAGAATCCACCTGCCAATGGAAGGGTCATGGGTTTCATCCCTGGTCTGGGAAATTCCCACATGCCCCGAAGCAACTTTGCCCCTGCACCACAGTTACTGAGCTTGCACTCTAGAGTCTGGGAGTCACAACTCCTAAAGCCCAAGATCCTTAGAGCCTGTGTTCCACAAGAGAAGTCACGAAGGTGAGAAGCCTTTGCACCATAACTAGAGAGAGAATAACCTGCATAGCAATGAAGACCCAGCACTGCAAAAAATAAAAAAATTAAGGTTGTAACTATACAGAGTTAAAGCAGAAGAAAGAATTTAAGGGTAATAAGCATGGAGGTAGAACATAAAGCCACAGGAGTGGCTGAGATTGCCTGGGTGAAGTATATAGAAAGAGAGAGTTCATGAGAGATCCTTGGGAGATACTCACAGATAAGGGATACATGGAGAAAAAGAAACATCAAATATACATGTGGGGTATTTGCAAAACCTGATCCTAAGCACGAGCAAGTGGCTGAAAACCATATCCATCAGGAATAGATTTTTATTTACTAAAGATTATCCTAGGGAAAGGAGTATTGAACCCAACAACTAGCTTTGGGGTAAAGAGACAACAAATACAGAATGCCATGCATCAGCATGACGATTAGCCAGATTCTGTTTTACTAGGCATAGAGTCGATTTCATTATTCTAGATGAATAGATCCTTAATCATGATAGAATGGCAGAGATGTACCCTCTACTAGTGTATAGCTGTTCACATTTGTACCACCTCTGAGCCTTTGCAGGTGGTGGTGGGAGGGGGCTGATGATTTTTCTCTGCTAAGTAACCTCTTTCTCCTGCTAGGATAGAGTCAAGATCCTGAATCGAATCAAAACAAAAAGGCTTCAGTTGGGAGTTTTATTTTTCTGTTTTTTGGCGCACCATAGGCATGTGGAATCTTAGTTTCCTGACAAATGACTGAACTGTGCCCTCTGCCTTGGAAGTAAAGGGTCATAACCACTGGACCACCAGGGAGGTCCACAATTGGGAGTTTGAATTACCAACATTTTCCTTTTACTAGAACTTTGTGTGGAATAAAAGTAAAATTATAATTTTTATTGGAATATAATTGCTTTATAATGTTGGGTTAATTTCTGCTGAACAACAATGTGAATCAGCCATATGTATACATATATCCTCTCCCTCTTGAGCTTCCCTCCCACCCCCACCCCCATCCCACCCCTCAAATCATCACAGAGCACTTAGCTGAGTTCCCTGTGCTATAGAGCAGCTTCCCACTGTCTATTTTATACATGGTAGTATATATATGTCAATGCTACTATCATAATTTGTCCCACCCTCTCCTTCCCCTGTTGTGTCCACAAGTCTGTTCTCTATATCTGCATCTCTATTTCTGACCTGCCAATAGATTCATCAGTACCATTTTTCTAGATTCCATATATATGTGATAATATATGAAATTTGTTTTTCTCTTTCTAACTGATTTCACTCTGTATCACAGGCTCTAGGTTCATCCACACATTACAATTGAATCAGTTTCATTCCTTTTTATAGTTGAGTAATATTCCATTGTATATAGTTACCACATCTTCTTTATCCATTCATCTGTCAATGGGCATCTAAGTTGTTTCCACATCCTAACTATTGTAAATAATGCTGCAATGAACATTAGAGTATGTGTGTATTTTGAGTTATGGTTCTCAGGGTATATGCCAAGCAGTATGATTGCTGGGTCATATAGTAATTCTATGTTTAGTTTTTTGTTGTTGTTGTTACCTGTTTAGTTTTTTAAGGAACCTTTGTACTGATCTTCACAGTGGCTGTATCAATTAATCTCCAAAATATACAAACAGCACATGGAGCTCAATATCAAAAAAACCCAACAACCCAATAAAAAGAATGAGCAAAAGACCTAAATAAATATTTCTCCATAAAAGACATACAGGTGGCCAACAGGTACATGAAAAGATGCTCAACGTAACTAATTATTAGAGAAATGCCAATCAAAACTACAATGAGGTATCACTTCATGATGGTCAGAATGGCCATCATCAAAAAATCTACAAACAGTAAGTGCTGGAGAGGGTGTAGAGAAAGGGAAACCTTCTTACACTGTTGGTAGAGAGTTATTCTTAAGTTAGAAAATTCTCTCATGGAAGCTCTACTAATATGGACTTTAGTCTTTATAGTTGCTTATTTGTATTTCTAAGCTTTGAAGATGGCTTGCAGCTTGTCTGCATTCCCAGGCACATGAGTTGCCTTGGCTCACAAATACGGAGGTGAAGTCCTGGGTTTCTTTCCCCAGCTCCCCACTTATGCAGTCTGCCCTATGCTAGGATGGACTCTGAATCTACAGTGAGAGCTTTGGGCCTTTGGAGGGACAGGCTTTTAACTGAATATCCAGTTTTGTTCAAAACTGTTCTGACATTCCCACAATTCCTTTTGCACAAAGAACTGAACTACACTGCATAAATGCTGTCCCCCACAAAGAAAAATCTATTACTTGGGGCATTCCTATCTACCCTGTGAAGAAATGGAACAGCTTTGAAATAAAACAAGGCAGTGTGTCCTACAAGAGGGAATATTTGCTGGGACCACAAATGAGTTGAATAGGTGAATCAAGAAATTAGCCACCCACTCTCACTGCTGAGCTGAGAGCTTTGAAAAATGCATGTAATTAGCTTGCAGGCAGGGCTCAGTCTCACACACAATGTCTGAGACTCTCACGGCACTTCTTCCCAAGAGAGAACCTCTTGGAACAGCTGTGGACATGCTCACACTGGCTCTGCTCGCACCTTGTTGGGTTTGTAAGGACAACCCAGGTCTGAGGCTGGGTTGAAGAGCCAGGTGTAGTTTGATCAGACTGCTTGGGATAATCTGAGGAGAACATTCCAGACACCATGTGGAGAGGAAGAGAAAAAGATACAATCTGATTTCTTTAACCTCTGATTTTACCAGGGAATTGTGTCATGCTTGCTTTTGTGATACTGTAGTTCTCATGACTTAGTGATGAGTTTCAACGCTCAGCTTGGGGCTTGGGGTTCCTTCCCCATACTTGACTTTTTAGCTAGAGAAAAATCTGTTTTGTCTCCTGATTTGGTAGTAAGGAATGCAAATATATATAACCTTATGCTCAAATACACACACACACACATACACAC